CTTGTTGCACGCTGAGCATTGAAAGGGCTTCTCTCCCGTGTGAATGCGCTCGTGGTCCATCAGCTTGGACTGGTAGGGGAAGCTCTTATCGCACACGGTGCAGCTGAACCGATCAATCAGGTGTCTCAACTGCTTCTTCCGTCTGATGCTTGGCCTCGGGTCGTCGTCGTCGTCGCTCAGTCTGCCGGGAGGAAGGGGCGGCAACGCTGGGAGAGACATGGAGTTTGTGGCAATCTGTGACACCCACTGATGTAAAGTAACTCGATGGGTTTGAGGCTTTTGGTTGTCTTTCGCTAACGTGGAAGAAGTTTTGGCGGGCACTTGAACAACCCTGAAAGGGATTGATTTCAGAGGCAGCTGCTGTAACTCTGGTTTCTCTGACGCTGCTGGTGTTCCATCCTTCTTTTCTCCTTGAGGAGTCGTTGCCGCCTGCTGCTGCTGTTCAGAACTTTTTTCCGGCTGGCTTTGCACTGTTGCTGTGGCATCCTTTTCCTTTGCTCCGTTTTCATCGGCTGTTTTGTCGCCTACTGGCTCTTCCTGCTGAGGTGCATCGACGGAGGGTGCCAGGCTCGACGCATCATCTGAAAGACCTCCAACATCTTCGCTGTCACTGAGAGAGGCAGGGCTGCTTTCTGTGACTGCGACCTCTGGTTGCTTTTGTGGCTGTTGCTGTGGCTGTGGTGCCGGCGGAGAGGGTGTTTCTACTGGCTTGGGCATGAAAGCCAAAGAGGAGAGCACACAGTCGCCCACTGAAGTTGAAACAGTTGCTGCAGAAAACAAAAACAACCAAAAGAATTACAGTTAGTCATTATTTCTCCTAACAGGTTTCTTCTTTGTCACCAAAATCGCCAATAAAATTAACTAAAAGTGCTTTTCAAAAATATTTAATAACCTCCAAAAAATTAAAAAAATCAATTTTACATTACAGGCCTAAACTCTAATGTTTGAAAACTATGTAACCCTCCCTTCCAAAAATAGCATATACTACATTATATTTGTTTATAACATAAAATCCCAACTTTGTGGTTGTGTTTGGAAAAAATATACCTTTCACACCAAGGAGTCCTTTGCTCTGATGGTGCTGCAGAAGAGTCTTTAGATCGCCACGGTCGGGGATGAACCCCCCACATGCATCAAGAACAGTTGCATCCGTCGAGATCATGGCACCAAGCTAAAGCAGGAGTACCAAGAAGTGGAAGTTATCAGTACATTTTCAGCACAAACTGTATTGCAGTAGTGATTTTTCTGTACGTCCTTGCAGATTTGATCTATTCTAATTCTGATTCATTAAAAAAAAGTTAAATGCAGAGGGCAAATTGCTGAGATGATAGGCGTGCATACTTGAGACAGATTGGGAACGGGAAGAAGTTGCTCCAGTTTGCACACCAGGCCAGCAATCAAGGCTTGGAGTGCTGTGTCAAACTTGACGCCGTACTGAACAGGGAACATTTCCTGCAAAAGTTGTTTCAAGTGTCAAGCAAGCATGCGATAGAACTGGATCTACAGACAATATAAGAGACGATAATAATAATAATAAAAAAACAAGTTCCAACACACATCAAGTCATACCTGAAAGAACCGTTTCCTCTCAGTGGGATTTTTTAGCAGATTCTGAATCAGAACCATAAAGTTTGTCTGGGATTTCTCCACCTCTACATCCTTCTAAGGTATAAAAACATTCAGTCAGATTTTATTCATGCCACATTATCCTGGTATATTGTGTTTAGTTGGAATACACAGCTTATATTACAGACGTATTAACAAGTTGCATGCATACCGCTGAGGATGTTATCTTTAACCTATTTATAAGAGTCTGAATAGTCTTGGAATCTGGTGGGCCGTCATTCTGAAGCAGGTCCAAGATTATCTAAGTGATTGAACAGAAATACAAATATAAGAGTGGTGAGAAAACAAATAATCTGAGAGTTCTGTTGTAGGCATAAAAAAAAAAAAAACTCACCCTTGCTCTTAACCCCAAGATAAGTTGCGCTGTCTGCTTGAAACTCAGAAGCTCAGGGACAATCTGTGTCACCATGGTCACAAACTCCTCCACTTTGCCGTAATGCTTCACGTTCCTCTGCCGTATGACCTGCCATATGTACGAATAGGTCAGCTGCAGTGGGGAGGCCAGCAGGCGGAGGGAGGCCAGAGGAAGGGCGCCTCCTGTTCAAAGACATTACGGCTGCAGCGTTACAAGTGATGGGAGTTACATGTGCAATGAGAACAGGCCACACAGATGTATGATGAAAAGCTCAACAATCAAGAAATCTAGGTCCTGGCAAATAATCAATTTCAAATATACATACTTTTCCAGACACAAACGTTAAGACTTTTAAAACAATTTATAAAGTTAAAAAAAAATAAAAACAGATATAATGATACCCACCTAGCTGGGTTTCATTATGAAGTCACTAAATCAAGTTGACAATTTGTGGCAGGACTTGAAAACTGATGTTTATATTTCTCCTACAATCTGATTGAGCCTTTGCTACTTTACAAAGAAGAATGGAAAAAAACCTCTTAGTCTCTAAGATCTGCAAAGCACCCCAGAACGCAAGCAGCTGAAAGGTGGCTCTACAAAATGATTCAGAATTTATTTAGTGAAATGCACGCCACACTTTTCAGATTTCCATTTACAAAAACTGCTTTAAAACCATGGATTTTTCTTCCAATTCAGAATTATGTACCGTTTTGTTTTGGTCTGTTTCAAGGTAAAGCGACGTGCTGCCACAGGGGGCGCTGCAGCAGTGGCCAGGGTGTAGAGTAGTTTTTGGAAAAAGTGCACGCCTGCGTGTGCGTGTGCAGTGATGGAGAGATTGAGCGCCAAGCTAATGTCATACTTCAAACTTTGCAAGCAGATATCAGTCCGCCACACTGACGTGATAAGCCGTTTCTGGAGATGCTTTACAGCTGAGCGGAGCGCGCATTTGGATGGCTTCATTTAAGCGACAAAAATCACAAAGCAGCCAAAGCTTGATAGTTAGCTAACTTGCTTATTATTCATCTCCAGCAAAACACGGAGCAGACGTGTGTTTGTTTATGCCGCTGAAAATGAGAAAACAGTCTTCTTGAAGCAGATGGAGCTTCCTTCATTTTCATATTTTACACCATTCTCGGCGGCAGCTACAGTTAGCTTAGCAACTTACCTGTTGTATTGGAGCGTCTATCCATACTGGCCTCAAAATGCGCGGCTGGGTCAACCAACTGACTGACGGCTCAAAACAAACTAATAAAACAACAGTCTATCCTTAAATATAATAGTTACAATTATTTAACCGTCTTATCTCGGGCGTCAAGCCACGAAGAATAATGGCGGCCACTGGATTCCAGCCTTCCAAAACAAAAGCCTGACTACTTCCGCCGGATGTTCCTGTACAATATAAAAGCACCGTCCTTGAGTATGTGATGGGAGTCCCGGCTTTTTTCCAAGATCCTGATCATTTGGCTCAAAAGGCAGCTTCCAAATTATTCCTCACAGTGCACTATTTCTGACGTAATCAAAATTAAGTGTTTATACGGAAAATAAGCATACACATATAAATGCATCAACAAAAAAGTATTTGATTAAAGCATTTTCATTGCCTTTTTTCCAGCATTTATTTCCTGTCCCCTTCTCTAAATATTGCATCACAGTCAATCTTTTGATTTCGCATTTTCTGTTTACCTTTTCATAGTTTTAACGTTAACTTAAATATTTACACTCATAACACTCAAACCGTTCTGACATACTGACCTATTTAAATGTTTTTCACAAAAATCGTGTTTTTTTTAATGAAAATATGTAGATGTCAAAGCAAAAAGCACATTTAGAAGGCGTCTTTACACTCTTTATGTCTGTTGTTCCTCTTGTTTTAAGCAATCCTGGTTTGTCATCATGGTTATTTGATTTGAATAGTCAGAGACTTTAGCTGTTGATAATTATTGCTGTTGCAATTTTGGGTCAGGTGCACAAAATACAAAATAACCATCTTATATAAATATTTAAAGACAATAGCACACAGGATAGTTTATGTATGCTACTCCTGTGTGATACTCAATTTCAGTTTTGTTCGGACTTCTTCAAAAGTCAGCATTTCAAACCTTACCCAATACAAACAAGCAATCAATATAAAAATGGTTCTCATGCTTTTTTAAAATATTTTTACATGAGTCTGTTGTTTCAACAGTTGGAAAAAGTTTATTAGCGTTTCAAAGACTTTCAGAGCATAACAAAATAACTTAACACACATTTTTGACAATAAAAAAAACAAAAACAAAATCAAATTCAACAATATGGTACACTGAGAAGATAGTGAAAGTTTTCCTGGTTTTGAACCTCATCCAAAATATTTCGCTATAGAACAAGCCATGTCATTGACCTGTTTTGGAAGTAAATCATTTGAACTGTTATTGAAATGCTGACCAGTCCCTGCAAATCCAACTCCATAGCCTGCGGTCTGCGGAGATTCTTAGCCTGTTGATTCATAGAGATCTGTCGACATTGGTCATGTTTGTAACTGGCACTTCCTCCAGCCTACGGCCTGCTCTTTTGTGACGAGAACAATCCCTCCTTATGCTCTTCACTGAGCTCATCCGTTCATCTATCTGTCTGTCTCCATCTCCCTTACTTTCCCTCGCTGGTCCTGTCCTGTCTCTTGCTCCCGGTCTCTGACACATACAGTACAAGAGCACTCACACTCTTGAGAGTCATGCTCTCATGACTGAAACTGATTGACTCTGAAACTGAGGCATTAAAAACCTCCCAGCACACTCGCAGTGGCTGAGGAGCAGCAATAGTTCACTGTGCAATGGCTTCGAAGCACAATGACCGGATTCAAAGGCCCTCTGGCCATGGCTATCTGCCATCTGGTCAGATCTTTGATTCATAAAGTCGGACATTTGTCGAACTGCTCAGAGTGTTGTTTGTGACTAGTAGGTCCAAAACTGGTGACAGATAACAGATCACAACAATGTCAACAACAAGAACAAGAGAGGTATCGGTTCTTTTAGGATTCTTTTTCTTTTAGGAATGGACTTGTTTTTTCATAAACTCCTTAAAAGACTTCAAAAGACGTCAGTACAAGAGCAGTTTGGAGTTCATGTTTGATTGTATAGAAATGAAAGGACAATCACTTCGACAACTCGCTTCATGAGTGTTGCTCCAATTCAAAACAACAAGGTTCTCTGAACTGTGGAGAATTGTACTGATGTGATAAGTTCCCAAATGTGACTCAGCGCCACCTTGAATGGCTTTAAAGTGGCTTTTAACTTCACAGAACTGAACAGCTATAGAGCTGTGATTCACCAGCCAAAACAAGATCATGTTTTTACTTTGGCAGCCAGTTTCGGAGAGGATAACTCGTGTGTCGGACTCAAGAGCTGGGGGAACTTTGCCAGCACATCTTTCCCTTTACACCAGCTCAGCTCCCTCTCCTCCAGTTCCTCTGGCGCTCAAGCAGGAAAAGTGACAGACCACACTAATTTTTCTATGCTTTATCACGCTTCATCCACTCTCATGTTCAGAGATTGCCTCCCCCGTTGGCTGGCTGTCATCGGCGTGGGTGAGCGTTTGAAGTGGGATGGAGACGGACACAGTTGGGATCATGTCAGGAGATGCGGTTTGGCCGTTTGAAGTGTTGCACGCTATTAAGTTTCTCCCAGACTTAACCTACAGGAAAAAAAAAAAAAGGTAGAAATTATTACTAAAAAAACAAAACAAAAACAAACAAGTAAACACCAGCACAGCTAGCAGATGATCATAAAAGTGGCCATGACATTACAAAAGGCTCCAAATACTATCTAAATATTTGATGAGCTGCAGTCAAATTTACAAGCCTCGCCTTCTTGGAAATGCTCTCTGAAATGTGGGCAGATAATCTCATAGGATTTGTTAGACTGACCAACGAAGAGATACAAACACATAAAAATCAATGTGGGAGGAAATTCAACGTCCAGAATTTCCTCTTAAAGAAAGCTTTTTGTCTTCAGTAACCAAAAAAGGCAATTAACCACTTTTGTGGTCCAGGGTTAAACAGTCTGTGACTTGGAGTCCATTTACCCAGAGAGTTGGGAGTCAAATCTGAGAGTCATCGCACACTTAACATAACCGTGTTCCAGGTCAAAGGTGCTTGCCGACATTTTGTTCTTTAAAACTGTAGCCACATGTAGACAAAAGAAGGTTGTGTAAAGATGAGGATATTCCTAGTAATTATTGCAGTTCCCACAACCTTTTATTCATCGCTAGTATAAAAATTTAACACACCATCCATCTGTAAAAAACAAAATCTCACTACTGTCCTTCCATGTATTTAACTAACTGTCCAAACTGTCTTTTCATTTCTCATATAGCTGGTGCATACTGCACTGAGAATTGAATGAAATTACAGTGGACTCCTGCCTATTTGGGGATCAGTGTTCACAAATTCATCATTTTGCTGATTTTTCTAAGAGTGTTTCTGAAGGATTCTCAAGTATAGATGGATTTATGGTGGTGGTTTTCTACTCGAAACTTCAGAATTTCATTAAATAATCAGTATTAATTGTATCTAGAAGGTAAGGATAATGGTCTAAACTTAGATCTGGAAATGACACCTGATAATTGCTCAACTTGGAAAAAAGGGAACGGTTTTGCTAATTGTTGAGAGACTAGTAAAATAGGACAACAATAGTAATTTTATGTATTCAAACAGTAAAGGAACATGTTAACAGATAAATATTGTTCAACATAATGCTTCTCTAGGATTTATATGCAAAACAATTTTAATTAGTAAAAACTGGGGCTCCAGTTTTCCCGTCCGAATTTCCACTTAAGGGCATTTTCTTGTTATATTTCCAACAATGTCTATCACATCAACACTTTAATACCAATATTGGCAGGATATTTTGTTAATGAGCTAACACATTTTTTAAATATTGAAAAGTTTTACCAAAAAATTTAAATATATATCGTGATAGTGCTTAATTGTATTTGCTAGCATACATTTGCTAGTATGCTAGCAACTGTTAGCATTTAGCTAGCATTCACTCAGTCATTTCCCTCCAAAAAGTGGCCAAATTGTTTGAAAAGCATTTCCAACAGTATTCCCTGACTTTGTGAGAGAACGTAAGCCAACAATTATTCATAAGCTTAATAACATTTAAGATCTTTCTTGATAAAAACTTTCCAAAGCTCACTAGGACTATTTGTTGTGGTGGTTTCAACTCCTAAGCGACCAAAAGGTTTGTTTTCCTCGGTTTTTTTCAGTTCTCATTTCTATTTCCCACTTGTAATTTAATATAACACGAGTTACACTTATTGTCCCCTTCATACTTTTATAATCACAAAGGTTTGCAAGGTGAAATTCCAAGGTCTTCTTACCTGCCAGACTATCAGCACAATACAGGCTGTGAAGGGGATTAGCACCAAAAGCAGAGAGCTGCTCTTTAACCATCTGTATTTACGACTCTCCTCCTGACCTTCTGCAAGAAGAGAATAATTGCAGCTGTAATTGAATATGCTTACACATATGAAATAAGATAGTGGACAGGCATGACATCACACTTTTTGCATGACATTAGATCAATAAGTGTTATCTAATTCTTCTCTGTGGTTTCAAGGCATCCGTTTGAATAAAACTGCCAGGCGCAAATAAATGGTGTACCTGCTGTTTGCTGATGATTAAGGCATGGCTGTGGCTTGCAAGAGAAACTCGATGTTCCTTGAGTGGCTGCACGCAAGAGGTCTTGGATGTAGTCAAAGTAAAGTCCGGAGAGCAAGCTCCTTTCTCGATAGTGACACTGGAAGACCTGCATCGCTGTTTCCTGTGGGATCAGTCAACAAACCATCATGAAATAATTCACTTATGCAATTAAACATGCTAAACAGTCATATAATCTTCCTGCAGTGCCGCCCTCAGAGCTGAAGTTGTTTTGCAATGTTCTGTTTTTTTCCCCTCATCTGTAACCTAATAAGTAAAATATTATGTGCGCACTCAAGAGAAGAGCACATATCGAGTGGAACTGCCTGTTACCCACCAGCTCTTCGTGGTCAAAGGTGAGGCGTAAACTCTTAAGCATCGTGATGAAGACGTTGATGTCGTCTCTGTTTGACGACATGGCACCAAACATGCCGGCCAGCTTTTCAAGACTTCGCTCCAAAGGATAGATATTTAAAACCACCCAGCACGTGCCGGCCTGCGATCCAGGTAGACAAACAAATGGCTTTCTTAGTCGATATGAAATCCACCATTCCTTATCCAACCGTCTCTCTGTATCTCATCGATGTGTTGTACGTACCACCTCTTTGGGAACGTAACTGACAGGAATCTCATAATCGGAGGGGATATTCTGCTTCTGCGGTGGAAATGAAAGGCAGAACAGAGCAGCGTCCGGGTCAGAAACAAAACGCAAAATACCACAACCGGATAAATGATGCTGTCAATATGAGGATTGTGATCTCACCAATTCAGACAGCTTGCTCACATCATCAGTTATTGGCGTCCCAAATTTCCCAGAGCAGAGATGCAAACTTGAAAACAGACCCAAGAGGACACAAGTTGTGCTGATGATCTAAAGCCGAGACATAAGATATCAAACAATATTTTGGATCTACTTGTTCACCATTAGCATGCTTTTAGATACTTACACACACATAAAAAAAAGTGAGTATGACCTGGCTAAGGGGAATGGTGGTATTTAATATGGCTGATATGGCTCTTTACCAAGGGCGGCATTTAATCAAGGAGTATGAACACATTTTTCATATTCTCTGACAGTTTTGTGACAGTTTTTTTTATTTAAATTTCCACTCAGTAGTAAGGGAGCACTAATGTAAAGAGCTATTGAGGTTTTTTTTTTTTTTTAAGAAATTTCATCTACATTTGAACTCCGTCGTTCTAAATCTAAAATTTTCTGTAGTTTTATTTTCTGTAGTTTACTTATAAAACTTTGTACTTAAGATAGTACAAAGTTTAAAGATGCTAATGGATAGCATCTTTAAAATACAGTTTGAAATGCAGGAAACCTTTACTCTATTTAAGAAACCACAAAGAGTGTTAGTTTGGGATTTTTAGCGTCAGAAAGTGTGAAGATGGCAATATTTAAATGGCTCAAACCTGGACTGAATCATCCTATTTTTTTTATTCCACGCTCATTCTTTATTTATTTTTTTAAAAGTTTTTTTATTTAATTTTTCTTTACAAAAAAAGTTCACGGACTGGTCAAATATGTAAAATATGTAAGCGAAAATAAAGCATTATTGTGAAAATATTACATGGATCCTCTAAAAATTTTAAATTCATCTTTAAATAAAAAGATTTAAAATGTCAATATTTCAGACTAACTGACATTTTCCTCCATTTTGTTGTTAGTGGACTAAACAGCTTTAGGCAATCAATGCAACAGATGAATTAAGACCTTATAATAATATCATCTTAAATTCTATTTTTTAAATTGATTTCCCAGAAACAACAAAAAACAAAGTGAATTGCAGCTCTAAGTCAAAGCTTCTGGTTTTGGATTAGTGCTTAAAAACTTATTTTTTTTTATTTTCTCAAAACTTTTATTAGATTTCTTAAACCTTTCCCTTTGCAGCCCCTTTTCTTGCAGCCCCTTTTCAGCACAATGTGGAGCCACAACCATGAAGCCCTCAGAACAGTAAATCATCTTCTAATGGAACATTCTTTATTAGTTGCCGTTTTTCACGAATGCACCTTTAAGCTTTCAGTTACAGTAGGAACAATATTTATTGCATTGATTCATCTGTTCTATTCTTTTAAGAAGGTGTCAGTTTCTGCAAATCTAAAAATGCTCCATTTCTGTTTTTGTCATTTTGAGCCTCAAAAATGAGCAGTAGCTGAAACAGCTGTGAAAGGGAATGAGAATTTTTTTTTTTTTTCAAACCAAGCACCAGCAGAATGTTAGACAATGTGTTAAATATTATGCAAAAGTTGAAAGAATCGACTTACTTTCTTCCTCATATGGAGCAAGGGTCCAAGGTTTCTCAGATCCGCCTCATAAAATTCAGTCTCTTGCGTCTGCAGAAAGAACTCAGAGCTCTGTGCATGTTTGCATGCGTGTCGATGATGTCCAAATGTGTAGTGAAACCCGAGGATGGGCCAGCAGTCTGCTCTCGCATCAGACAAACTGGTGGGGTCTTTTTTTTTTCTTTTTTTTTTGACGTGGCGGAGAGGCCGCCTACAAGCTGAGTCATTATGTCACGCTCTGACGCCGTCTGAGACTTTTCCATAAACTCCCACGTATCAATTTGGTCATCGGGAGAAGTGGGTGCTTGTTCTCCTTGCGAGAATATTTCACTTGGAATATGTCAGGGTTATTCCCCAAGCTGTTGTTTGTAAAAAAAAAAAAAAAAAAAAAAAGAAGTGAGAACAGGACGACGGGGAGTAATTAAGATGTTATTTCTTGCTTTATTTAATCGCGTAGACTTATTATGTTTTTGTTTGTTTATTGGATTTCTGGGCTCCTGCGTCTCGGGCGTGCACGTGCCAACGTTTTGCAACGCAAACCCCAGCTCATGGTTTCTCCTGATAAGTGGACCCATGTAAAAGCCATTATCCGTAATTGATTTCCATTACCAAATCAATAGCTGTCACAAGGGAGAGATTCAGGAAATGAGGAAAAGCAAACGATTTAGAAAACCAAACTCTTCATTTCCTGAGGACGGCACAATTTGCTTGTCCTCTAGTCGAGGCTTTCTCAGGAGGGCAGTAGTTTCCTCTACACTCCAAAGGCTCTAATGCCAGGTGAATTATTCATTCATCTCAGCGGTAGACTGGCAGTGTCTCTGCTAATGGATTCAGTCATGGATTATGCTCATTGATATCAGTCAGCAGGAGTGCATAAAGGATTGTTAAGCGTAGCCAGCTGAAACGCTAACTTTTGCTGGAAGTTGGCGCAGGTAGGTGTTGCAGGAAGTCAGAAAAGCAGCCCTTAGAAAGATGAGAAATGATTTCTATCATTTTCCTAAAACGCCTTCTGTAAATATCGAGGAACTTCTCCAGCAATCTCAATCACTAATCAGTTCAACAATGACTTGTAAGTTGACTGAGGTTGTTTAACGTTCATCCATTGCGAAGATGTAATCTTTCCCCTGAATAAAAGACGGCGAGCTTCTAATGTTTGACAAATAATCTGTACTGAAATTTAAGTTTATGTATGGTTTATCCACCAGCTTTCCTTAGAAAAAATGTCACAAACTATACTAGCGAACCCAAAAGAAGACAAAGATTGCTAAGCAGTTCAAGTGTTTCATGACAAATTTTGGATTTTTTGGGGGGTGAAGTTGAGGGTCTTTGAATGGATATGTGTGGCTGAGTGAGGTAAAGAGAAAGCTGCAGCAGCAGATTCCAGGAGTTTTCCCATGGTGAGGATCTGTAGATGGAAGAGGACATGTTAGATAAATTCACTTAGAGAGATAACTTCTAATTGCTCAGAAAGGAGTCAGCTCTAACTGTGGAGCTGCCCTAGAGCTGCAGGGGGAAAAGAAAAAAGACTGCGTTGTTGTTAAACTAATCAGCTATATTAGTCTTACTTGGACGACTTTATTATTATATTCCGAGCTAAAAAAAAAAAAAAAGTGAAAGAAAACGTGCAGATATTTGTTCCCCCCTTCCCGCCAACAACAGATCCGTTGTGTGTGGCATCGCTGCGCAAACTTGTCATGTGGGTTTCATCCGCATGTCAGCGAAATGATTCGATTTGAATGTCGGCAGTTTCAGCCGCTGGAGAAGTGAAAGAAATGACAGACAGCACACTCTGAGCTTAGTCATGACGGTTAAAGTAGGCCACTTCTAATAATAACGCAGACCGCCGAGGACCCTGCAAAACAAAAACATGGAGGCAACTCGCTGGAGACATCAAGGACACTCACTCACACCGACAGGTGAGGGACGGATATCGCTAAATAGCATGCGGCAAGACGTCGTTTTTACGTACGACTGCGTGACACTAACATGTTTGCATTCGACCCTCATTCCTGCGTGAGCTGCAGTGATACAGTTACCCTTTAACAAGCTGCATTCCCAAAGGCAGACGAACGCAAACCACAGACATACGTGAGCTCAAAAATATTTTTGATTTTTACAAACTCTCTTTCTTATCACATTTCCCCGCTATACAGAAATGGAGGACCTTGAGCAGGAAGGCATTAATGAAGAGCTGATTGAGCTTGCCATTCTGGAGAGCATTCAAGATGCCTACAAGTGTTCAGTGCCAGAATACTGGTATGCAAAAAAAAAAAAAGAAAAAAAAAGGAAAGATAAAATCAAATCATGCACGAAAAGTCAGGTCTTGGGACCACGCTCCGCCATGAGTATTTTGGGAAAAGTAAACTGTGTTTGTTTCACCAGGAAACAGCCAAACAGTGAAAACTTTATGAAGATCATGTCGGCGATAGACAAAGGTAAAGTGATACACGCCATGTAGATACGAGTAATAATGTGCAACAAATGGCCCTAGATTTCAGGTTTTGCGAATTTCTCACTCTCAACTTTATTCGTCTCTGAACTTTGACTGGGCCAATTCTTACACTTGTGAATTTAGCCCCCTCGTTAACGTGAAAAGCTACCCTGTGCCCACTAAAAGGCAGGGAAGGCCTTCCCTCAGCCCCTCCTCTATTCCGGTCACAATCTGCATCCCATGATATATTAATCTGATTTTTAACCCTCTTCAATACTGTATCTCTGCAGGCGATGTAGCTGCACTGCAGCAACTGTCGTGCTGCGCGTCTGCCTTCAGAGAGAGCGACAGCAGGGGCTGGCTTCCTCTGCACGCAGTAGCTGCTCGACCAAAGACAGAAATGCTGCATGTGGTGCTGCAGGGTAAACGAGAGCATCGGGTGGGGTGGGGGGGATTCAGCTCAGCGTTAGATCCTCATCATCTAAGCTGTATTTATTTGTCACCCCTTGCAGCGATGGCGTCCATGGACGCGACGCTAGAAGAGCGGACGAAGGACGGGGACACGGCGCTGACGCTGGCAGCAGAAGCCAACCAGGTGGAAAACATCAAGCTGCTGCTGCGGCACGGAGCCTCGCCGCACAACACAAACAGCAGGAATGAATCTCCTCTGCTCCTCGGTAGCACAATCACGCCGCTGGCCGGAAAAGGCACACACTCTCGCCTCACAGGTGGCCTGACATGTTGAGCCAGTGTGGCTCAACATTGTCAGGATCAATAAGTCAAACTATATCGCCACAGCATAACCACAACCTTCAACTGTTCCTTTCAGATGTCAAACATGCCAACAGTATTTATTTAAGATAGTGTGTCATTTACAGTCACCAAAGTTAATCGCCATCATTAATTCACTGCGTTTTGAGCAGTTTTGTGAAAAAAGAAACCCCTCGCTAAGACGCCTCTTTACTCACATCTACTTTCCACGTGTTGCAGCGGTGAGACAGAGTTCGTGTGACAGCGTTCACTCCCTCATCATGGGCGGGGCCTTTGTGGAGCAGGTGTGTCTCACAAAGTGGACGGCGACTCATGAGGCTGCGAAGGTGGGAGGGTGTTTTAAAGCTGCCATCCAAACGTTCCTGCAAAGTAAATCAAACCCACTTTGGGTATAGTTTATCACGTATAAGACATCAAATCAAGATCGTTTTTTTTTTCCCATTAGCTATTAAGTTGTATAGCTAATGGGAAAAATTAGCTATTAAGTTATAGAACTTAATAGCTAAAGGTAGATTTCAAAGGTAGATTTCATCTTTATTCAAGATGAAATCTACCTTTGTAAAAAAAAAGTGTCTATGCCTATGTTAACATCACATAAGGTAACTGATTAATTTTTTTGAGTTTGTCTACTTTTTTCTCAGTGGGATTTAAGAAAATATTGTGTGAAAAATTTTAAATTCATACTTCATTGCTTAAAAGGACTCTTTTTTTTGTCAGTGCACATAGTAAACAATATTTTCTGTATAATTTCCCCCCCCCCTAAAACAGTTTACTTCCCCGTCTCGTTTTTTTCAGGTGGGTTGTCCAGCTATTCTGATGCTGCTGCTTCGCCACGGAGCCCAGGTTACCGTCAGAGACGGTCACGGCGTGACCGCTATGGGAATTGCAGCGGAGCACGGTCGGACTGAAGCCCTAGAAATACTTATACAGCACGGTAAAACTTTAAAACACAACTATTTAGCTATTTACTCGTCTCTTTTTTTGGCCGCCTGTAATCTGGCCCTGCCTAATTTTCCCAATTTATCCCTCTGTTTTTGTACTTCCTCGGCCCTCCACAAGGGGGAGATGTGAACGCCCGGGCCAGCAATGGGGACACGGTCCTGTATGACGCGTCTGGGTCAGGAAACCTGGACTGTGTCATGCTCCTTCTGCAGCACGGTGCCAACCCAAACGTGGCCAGCTACGCCTGTCAGCTGCCCATCCACAGGGCCGCGTATGAAGGACACACGCTGTGAGTCGCAGCCCGGTCGATTGAGAAAACATGAAGCGTCATTTTGATGCCTTATTCTCGGCTCGTAACAGTTCAGCAGCAGATTCTCGGAATAAAGAAATTGCTCTGCATTAAATATAATTACTTACCCCATTTGTTTGCATCACAACAAGCAAACAATGGAGTGAAAGTTCTGCACAACAGAGTTCGCCACAAAGAGTCCTTTGTTTATCACCGTTTCTCGGCTCAGTTCCTAAAAAACACTGCAACTCAAACCACAGATTAATGACCGCTCCCTCTGTCCTGTTTGGTGTTTTTCACTCTGTTGATTCCTCTTTTTTCTGCCTTCTTCCCCTCCCCCCTTGTACAGAGTCCTAAGAACTCTGATCCCTGTCACCACAAAGAGAGCGATCCGTCTCTCAGGCCAGAGCCCGGTCCACTCTGCTGCTGATGGGGGACAGACTGAATGTCTCCAGCTCCTCATCCAGAATGGTTTCGACATCAACACACAGCTAGATAAACACATCTCCGGTAGGAGCGACCGTATAAGTGTGTGTGTTTGCGCCACCACTTTTACCAAAACGTTGTTGCTTGAGAATTCATACATCTGGCCTTTTTCCATCCATCCATCCATAAAAAAAAAAAAAAAAAATCTTGAAAGTGAGTTTCATTTTTCACACCTTTCACAATTACGCAACTGCCTTGTGCTGGCCTATGTCACATAAAACCCCCAAAAATAAAATCCATTAAAGTTTGAACTGCTTATGTCAAATAGAAAAAGTTGCTTTCACTTACATGCAAGTTAATCATGTGCACCTCAAACATGTGAAATCTGTTTCTGAAAGTAATATTCCAATAATCTGCTCAAACGTGTTTTTCATATATGTCTATGAATAAGTTTGCATAGTAAACAAATGCAACAACCTGTTTTTCAAAATCAGTTTTGCTTACAAACTGCAAGATTTTAGATTCTGCTAATTAAGTCATTAAACTTAATTGAGTTATTACGTTTAATGACTTAATAACTTACACAATCAGTGAAGGGCTCACTCACACAACATTTTCTGGTAACACAGCTATTTGCAGAAACGGGAGCGCCTCAGGATAAGAATGAATGCAGGTCCGAAATACTTTGATTTTAATTTTTTTTATCACAAGTGCTCATTCTCCGCTGGGCTCACCACAAGTAACGCTTTTAAATCTTTGGGTTGTGTGCCGGTTTTTGAGTCTTCATGCTACTGCTCTAAAACGGTTTCTTCCTCCCACCTTACATAGCGAATCGCCACCTGAAGAACTAAAATTTTAACTTTACAGCCTTTTTAACCTATAGTGTTTAATGTATGGAATCGCATGCTCTGCAATTTGTAGCAAAAAAATTAAAAAAAAAATCCAACTTACGCTCACAATTTAGATTTTGATCTACTTCCTGGAACTAACTCGCTGACCTTTTTCAATCTCACAGAGAACTATGGCGACCTGAGGAAGACCCCTCTGTACTTTGCCGTCTCCAACGGCGACGTGACCTGTGCTGAGATCCTGCTGGAAGCTGGAGCGAGAACAGACCTGGACCCTCTACGATGCATCTTGGTTGCCATTCGGGCAGAAAGGTTTGCAGGAGGCAGTCGGTATGTTTTGTCTGACGTACAATAACCCAGATTGCCCTGAAAACCCCATCCGCCGTGTCTAGATATGAGTTGGTGAAGCTGCTGCTGTCCTATGGAGCCGAGGTCAACTGTTATTTCAGAGTGATCAACAACACTGTGTTCCCCACTGCCCTCTACTACTGCCTCAGAGACCACGACATGCTGCGATTGCTGCTCAACAGCGGCTATCAGGCTCACAAGCACGTCGTACACCCGCTGATCATCAAAAGTCAATTTAAACCTAATTTTGAATGACGATATTTACATTTTTAAATATTTTCCCTTCCTGCAGATGCTTTGAGTGCTTCCATAATAAAAGCAAGGACTTGGACAGCACCTGGACTGACCTCCACAATCAGGCCTACAAGATTTACTGTCAGCCTAATGTCATTCCAGTGAGAACTGACACGCATGCGTCCTTTCCTCCTCTTGCTGTAACGAAGAGAGTACGAGGTAACGCTAAAGGAAACCCCCGATCTCTGTTCTTTTAGTTCTGCGAGTTCGTGTCCGTGTCGTGGCTCGCCCATCTGGCAGGCAGCGTCGTAAGGATCCTTCTCGACTACGTCAGCCACATCAGCATCTGCTCCAACCTGAAGCGCATCCTGGAGAGGACTCCTGAGTGGGAGGAGATTTCCGCCGTGCTGGGTAAGACCGTAAACACGACGTGACGTTGATTCGATTTCCTGGTTAACTGAAGACTAATTGACTCCGTCTCCGCTCCAGGAGAACCTCGCCCCCTGCAGCACTTGTGCCGACTTGTGATCAGGGGCAGAATGAACGTCAGGACGCTGAACGACCCGGAGGCCATGGAGGCTGCGCCTTTTCCTCCCAGACTGATCGGCTACCTGTCCTACAGGGCGGACGACCCTTATGGGGGACTCTAGTGACAACAAGATCCGATCTGCAGCGACTAGCTATGAATTTTGCAAATGTGTGCATTTTGTGCAGTTTTTTTTTTCTCAAAACTCTACAGCTTTTACCTAAATCTACACTTTCCTGTATTTATACTGTTTATAACATTGTTGTAAAAGTTGCTAAAGTAGAAGAACGGATGAAAAATGTATGCATGAGAAATAAAATGAGTGATGTCTGGTAAATCTGATAATCACGTATCAGTAATCAGATGCCTGCAAAGCTATTAGCCAGAGAATACAGTGAAGTAGATGAAATAAACTGCAGAAAAGTGCAGCAGAATTTGAGACAAATCTGCAGAATCTATGCGAATGCATTTTAACACTAGTGAAGCTGTTATGGAGCACATTTCTTTTATTCTCACTACATACTCGAATGTATAAGAAAGTAAAAGTATTGTTTTACACGACCAATATTTTCCTTTCTTTTGCTCACACAGTAAATAAAAATATATGTACTTTAATAAAAGTTTGACAATCAGCCCTCCTATTTCAAATGTTCATCAAACCGTCCAATTCAGGAAAAGCTCTTTGAATATGACCCTCTGGGGCCAAAACAAACAAACAAAAAAAAACATCAAGTTTTCGACCCAATTTGCCAAAGAAATGTCTACAAATGGTTTTCTGTAATCGAATAAATACAAAATCTGAAGATTAAGGTGTTGATCTATATTTAAAAAACGTACAACTGGAGCACGAGAAGAACAGGACGGGACTCTGAAGAGGAGCAGCAGGCGGTAGGGCGGGGCAGCGAAAAGATCCAGTAAGGAACAACGAGAACCAAAGAGCTTGTGTTCCGCGGCAGAGGAGGAAATGAAGAACCAATCAGAAGCCAACGGAGAACACCTGAGGAAAAGTACAGGAAGTGGTAAAACGGGAGCTGTGGGAAAGAGGAAACTGGAAAGCTGAGGGAAGGTGAGCAATCACTGGGGCTGATGGAAGCTGCAAATAAAGGAATAACACTAATAAAGAAGAATAACATCCATTAGGACAGTCAGAACTTTTTTGGTTGCATGTATCTCCAAATAATAACTTAGATAATTACTGTTTTAATCTAGAAGTACTCAAACAATAACAGAAACAATCTTGGCTTGGACAACCCTGATGCATTATCCAGAAATACTACTAGATGCTCCGGACGCTTCGGCCGTCTGAACCCTTCAGTTCTCAGGTTTCCTGCACAGAGAGCAAACCTGAAGAGGAATCCAGAGCCAGCTGGCTCCAGTGGTTCACAAGAACCTCAGAAATTGTTTTGTAATCATTTTAACAAATGTCAGAAACTTTGCTCCTCGTCTCCTTGTTGAATTTTTCTAGGCCAGGTGATTAATGCATTGCTTTCTGAGATCTTTTAACCCGTTTCATGTTGTCAAACAGATTATATTTAGATTATTATTATTTATTTATTTTTTCTGGTTTGACTAGTGAGACTGAACCAGAATATGTGACTGATCACAGTTGACTCATGACTGAACAAGCAGAGTACTTAGTTTTTCCAAATAGGATCTGGTTGGTTTGGTTAGTTTGAAACCTCCATTTAATATTTCTTTTTTTTTTTTTATCTTTGAAATAAAAAAATTTGCTCAATTATCCAAAATATGACAAAAAAAAAAAAGCTAAACCAAAATAAATCTGTAAGGGGTCAAATACTTTTTCACATCGACATAATACTACAGGGCGAAGAGTATTTTCCTTTTGAACATGTTATTGTTGGATGCTCACAGTTGTTAATAATGCTCAGTGTTTAACATGGATACTTCTGAACTCCCAAATCAAGCAAAAATTAAACATTTAATCTTTTTAAGGAGTCATTCACCGAAACGCGCCGGATTAATTACACATTTCTCCTTTTCGTTCTGCTTCTTCGATGAAGCTCAGTCTTTTTTTGGCCGTGAACAAAGCCATTCAGGTCCGGGTGACTGACTGCTACAATGACAGGCCACGGAGCCTCTGAGCTCACAGGCTTTTTGTAGCTCTGCCTATCTGGGTAGCGACTCCCAAAAAAAGACGCTGCATCATGGGGCCTACTCGCCGGTACGTTCCCTCTTAAAGCCTAAACAGCAGCTGGCGAGATTAGAAAAGAAGAGGACACACACACACACACACACGTGTGCACCCTTACATAAAGTCGGTCGGCCAGGAGGAATCCAGTTCAGACTGGACCAGGAGGGAAACGTCTTGACTGGTCGTATTGTAATGGCATGAATCGACTGAGTTTTTAATCTAGCTTTGCGGAGATCTTTATAGATCTCAAGCTTATTGGTGGACCTTATGTTTTAATTGACTTTCTTTATCAAAACTCCTTCAGTTTGGGAGTCCAGTTAACACTCTGACGGTTTAATAACTTACCGGTCAGTGCTTCTCAGGCTTTGGCCATGAGTTTTTTCGGGTATCGCCGAGAGCTGAGTAAGTACGAGGACGTCGACGAGGATGAGCTCTTGGCGTCGCTCAGCCCGGAGGAGTTGGCCGAGTTGGAGAAGGAGCTGGTCGACATTGACCCTGACGCCAATGTGCCCATCGGTCTCAGACAGAGAGACCAGACAGACAAAACCCCAACGGGTACTTTCAGCAGAGAGGCCCTCATGAAGTACTGGGAGAACGAGACCCGTAAACTTTTGGAAAACGAGATAGCAGGAGGGAGCCCCAAACTGGTAAGAGGAAGAAATGTACAGAAAAGTGATCAACCACCTTAGAGATTTGCTTGATTTGGACTATTTGGTCATCATTGCTGGGTTGACTTCTGCTGAAATGCCAATCAGGAATGAAGAAGCGAACGCTAGCCTCAGAAATGAAATTACAGTTTGCAGAGTCAACATTTTGTGAAATTATAAAAGGGACATTTCAGGATATCAGCCAGGAAGTTAAGGCTTTTTATTTTTTGCAAATCAATCTTCCAAATCAGGAGTTGGCATTACTTATTTATCTATTACATGTTTTACTACACAAATATCAACATCCCATAAAATTAAATTAAACCATCCTATTGTAACCGGTTCTGTCAGCACAGTCCCCATACAGTCACATCAGTCAAGCTTGTGAAAAAATACCAAAACACTGAATACAGTGCAAAAATTGAGAGTTGCAACCAATTTTTTTCTTTTTCTCTACTATAAGAGTTGTGCTTGTTGAACCTAAAGATCGTCCATATTGGTGATCTTCTCAAAACACAGGATGACGAACAAGAAGACGAGTGTCTGACAGAAGAAAGCAGCGAAGAGGAGGAAGAAAAAAATGACGAGAGCGAAAAGGAAAGTAAAAGGTCAGAAAATTCAAAGGGGGAGGATCACAAAGAGGAAGACAGTGAAGAAGAAGAAGAAGAAGAGGAAGAAGAAAGTGAGGAAGAGGAGCCTGTAACAGAAGAAGATGACGCTGAAACGGATGAAGACAAACAAGACAATGTAGCAAAACCTGAACCCTTGAGAGACTCAGTGGATGCGGTCAGACCGACACTACTGAGGCCTCAGAGGGCGGAGCCTATGAGGCTGACTCCGCCCCCTCCACCAGTGGACCTAAACAGTGGAAACCCTACAGTTGTTGATGACGCGTTGCAGCGAGTTCTTAACGACGACTCCGAACTCACTGAGGTGAATCTGAACAACATTGATGACATCACACAGGTAACAACGTGTTTTATTTGTCTAGTTTGTCCTCAGTTGAGCGCATCATCCTTCCTGCAATCGTTTTGAAGCATCCCTAATTCCCAAATTTCCTTTGTTTCCAAGGAGACAGAAACTTTATCATATAAAACAAAACTTTTTTTTTTTTTAATTCATTCAAAGTGTTGTTTTGAGTTCCAACTAATAAAACAGACGATTACAGGGTATCTTGTAGCTGAAATATGACCAATTTCTTTTAGTTCTTTAGAAATACAATTGTTGAAAAATACTAGTTTCATATCTTAAAACTCAGTTATCCCTGGCAATGTGAAATAACAGACAATCAAGTATTAATCATGAATGAAAAACAATTTTTTCTCTCTCTTTATTGCATGATTTATTGTCATAAGTTTCAATCTAATAAGCCCAGACTGAAGTCGGATCAAAACATCTATTCATAAACCATTTCAGTTTGGAATGGAGAGTTTTTCGGCCCCTCTCAATCATCAGACACTAAACTTTCACTCTTTGAATTGCTGAGCAACCTTAAAGGTAACAGTGGGTTTAGGATTTTCTGTTTCTTCCTAATCCCTTTTGCAGGAAACTCTAATTCGATTTGCTGAAGCGCTAAGAGCCAACACCCACGTGCGAATCTTCAGTCTTGCGAACACGCGGGCCGACGACCACGTCGCTCTGGCCATCGCTAAGATGTTGAAGGAGAACGCATCCATCACCAGCCTGAACATCGAGTCCAACTACGTGAGCGGGAAGGGAGTGATGGCGCTGGTCCAAGCACTTCCAGGCAACAACACCCTGACCGAGCTCCGCTTTCACAACCAGAGGCACATGTGTGGAGGACAGGTTGGTTTCGGTCCAAGCCAGCGGAATCCCCCCCGGTTACCGTTACAGTCGATGTGAATTGCTGCAATGACCTGCTGCAGGTGGAGATGGAGATGGTGAAGATCCTGAGGGAAAACCACACTTTGATCAAGCTCGGCTACCAGTTCAACCTCCCTGGTCCCAGGATGAGCATGACTGGGATACTGACCAGGAACCAGGACCGTCAGAGGCAGAGACGGCTGCAGGAGCAACGGCAGCAGCAACAAGACGGAGCTGTGAACTCAAGAACCTCTGCGCTGGTAATCACTTCGCTTCAAACTGTTCGAATAACTTGAATAGTTTGATTCATTAAACATTTCGACTCCATTTCAGCCAATTACTTACAACACAATCAGCTCTAACTGGTTCATTCGGTTCAATTCAAATTACATAACGCACACTAACAATAACATTAATATTGGCACAAAATGTCTGGAGTAGTTTTCTAGATTAGTAGATTATCGCATCAGATTAAAGTCGAGTTTGACCAAATGTCCATCAGTGTCTCTCTATGAAACTTTTCTGCTCTACTTAAACCTATGAGAAAAGTTTGGAAAAGAGAAATATAACTAAAGTGGTGTGCTATGGAGGGAAACCCCTTTTGACATGTTAGATTCAGAAAATCCAAACGTCCTCTCTGGACTGTTTCTTTGGAAGTCAAGTTTCCACCGCTTCATTTCTTAGCTCACAAGCAGCTGTTCAAACCGGCCCGAGGGTTCAGTGGAAGGGATTTTATCTGGCCCAGATTGTTGGAAATTTTCCCCCTCTTGGATAACCCCAAAGCCATATTGGACTCGATTCACTTAAGCTAAATTGCGTCATTAATGTTTTGACCAAAGCCTTTTCTAAAGTCTCAATTAGAGGAATGAAATTTGTCCAAAACATCGGATACCTGAGGGTGTGTGTCGCTGCCTTTAATAAGATGTACCTCACATAAACTGGTTTCCATCTTCAATTCTGTTTTCACTATGTGTGCATTTTCTTTTCTCAAGAGAGGAACACCCAGTTCGTCGCCCTACACTTCGCCCAGAGCCTCACCTTGGTCCTCACCCAAACTAACGGCTAAAAAACAGACTCCGCCGCCTCCCCCTCCTCCTCCACCTCCGCCTCCGCCTCCTCCACCGCCTCCTCCTCCGCTTCTCCCGCTGCAACAGGAGAAGAAGAGGCCCACGCGGATGATCGCGGAGGTCATCAAGGCCCACGAGGCGGGCAGCAAGAAGGTCACCAAAGCCAAAGGGAAGAAGGGCAAGAAGAGCAAGGCGAAGGAGACGAAGGGGGAGACGGGCTGCATCCTGAAGGAGCTCAAGAACGCCCTGAGGCCTGTGTCGGCCGAGAGGAGGGCGGAGGAGGGCGGCAGCAGGCCATCCACGCCGATGAGGTCCGCCCACGATCAGCTAATGGAGTCCATCCGCAGCAGCAGCCTCAGGAACCTCAGACGGGTGAGAGGCAGGAGGGGAATCATGAGAAAAGACACTACTTCCCCATTTGGGGGTGGAGGTGTGGGGGGGGGGGGTTTCGGTTGTGAAAAACAGAAGCGGACAAACTCTCCAAAAGGCAAACTGCACAAGAAGGGAGTTTAATTTAGACAAGGATGACACAGAGTCAGTGGTGTGTGAGTCATCCTGGTGGCTGATGTGGTATGATCTGTCTCTGGACAGCAGTAGGTAGGCAAAAGAGGCTGTTTGCCACCAGCGTGCTCTGGTATGAGCACATCGCTTTCACATTTACAGACAGTGTAGGACAGAGAACACTGACAAAGATAAAGTCAGTCAGCCTGCTTTTTTTTTTTTTTTTTTACCCTGAAGTGGATGATAAGCTGACGTCCATAATAGAGGAATGGAAAACATAGATGGCAGGACAAATAATGAAACTAAAAGCCCGTATTATTCAGAGTTTCCCCTATTTTCATCTACCTAGTAAGTGGAGATCTGAGTGTTGGCTTTTCCTGCAGCTGGAGCGCAGCTTGTTACATTGTTGTGGAAAATCATCTGTGGCCTCAGATAATGGGGTCTCTGGCTGTAGCTGGCAGATTCCATCCACTCAGCGCCGGTATTTATAGAAACTGTTCTGTGGCGCTTCGATAACAACGGGCTCGACGCTTCGTCGCATTAGCACGCCTGAAAACAGTCCAGACTGCTGCTGTTTGACCCTTTTTGCTGCTCTTCGTCTCATTTTTGTCCTCTTAACACAATCTGTGATTTTCCAGGTGGAAGTTCCACATCATCTACGATAAGGAACAAAGAGATCGGGCCCTGCGGGATAATGGCGGCGACGATGACGACGGCGATGGAGACAAATTGGATTTCTTACTCGGAAAAAACGGGAAGGTGTACTGGAAATTTGTACTCAAAATTCGGAACTATTTTTTGATATTTAAAGATACAGTCCCCCCCCCCCCATACCCTTTTGCAAAAATTAATTCCTAATTGTGTCAGATCATCTAACAAATTTTAAGATCAAACACAAGTATCAAGTATCCTGAGTAAATACAGAATGCAGTTTCCAAGTAATAAAATAAAAAGCTATTCAAAGCAGGTGAAAATCATTTATTCCAAATTGTCTTCAGATTTTGACACTTATAGCAAACTTCAGTTTGTTAGAAGAATTACCAAACTAAGAGTCTAAGAGCCTATGTCCTCCACGCCACCAGGGGGCCCCCAAGAGCAATAAACTAGCATGATAGAAAAAAAAATATTTTAAAATAACATTGAATAATGCAAACTTGTAGATAATAATGATTAATCTCTTCCTGTTGATGGCTGTTGCCACTTTTGGGGAAATATAAGATATTAAATGTAGTATTTATCAGTTGATGTTACTTTAAAATAGCTAAAATAAAATATCACATTTGAATGCCACTCTGCATTTTAAACCCAAATGTTGTTGTTTTTTTAAACTTGTTACTCCTGTAAGTTTGAAATCAATAGTCATAATAGTACTGGCAATAATGTACACTAATAACAAATGATGCTTATGATAGTAGGTATTTTACACACATAGAGTAGCTTAGGAATTATAAATCATCTGGTGTTGACATGCTGGTGTGGGCCCCCCCAGAAAAAGCTGCTTAGGACCCCAAAAAGGCTTGGATCAGTCCTGGTGATGAGTAAATTTTAACTTTTTTGAAGTTTTTTTTATTTTTTTATTTTTTTTTACCCCTCAATCAATTTTATTCCAGTTTTGAAAGCAGCATTTTGTAACTACTCTGGCTATTTTAGTCTGATGATCTTAATAATTGAAGTGTGACAAAAAAAGGGGAAAAAAAGCAAAATGTCTTGCTTTTTTTCCACAGTAGAAAGTGACATGAGTTTTCTTATTCTTGTTTACTGACATTTTCTAAATGTCTATTTTCATGTAAGACTGTAAATATGTGTTTTTTTTTCTTTTTCTTTTTGGTTGAAATATGTGTTCGTTTCTAAATATATCCATTTGCTTACTTGCAGCAGTCGTGTTGTTCGTGTCTTCTTTGGTTACTGAGTGAGTTTTATTCAAGGTGGGGAGAAAAGGGGGACAAGCTGTTACAAAGACGTATAGGAAGAAGCGCACACAGGCGGATTATTTTTTTATTTTTATTATTTTTTCAGTCTGAGTGAGTCAGCCTGCTGGTGAGGAGCCGCTGATGCACACAGCCTCTCAGAGACGTCGACAACACACCCACTCGTGTTTTTGCGCACTTTCTCTGAACAAGTTGCAAAACAGAACAAGTGAAGTGAAATAAGAAAGCAACAAACTCACTCTGACGTCAGTGATGACGCCAGTATTCCCAGCAGCAACTTGTGAGCAGCAACCTAAAGACGATGGGTGGGAAACAGTGCAACAGGTGCGTACAGGTAAATGTGTTCATTTTTAACTTTCACACGGCTTTAGCAATAAGGACCAGGCCTAAAAATATATTGTTTAGACTTTGTCTGTAATATTGAGTAAAGTTTTAGAGTTCCTTCTTACAGAAAATTAGAGAAAGATGTGAATGTATTGTGTGACACTTAGCAGGGAAAACACTGACGGATGATTTAAAATACCTGCAAAGGAAGAAAAAATTTCTGTAAAATGTGTATATATGTTATTTTTTAGACTGGTGGAGAATAAACGTATTCTTCATTAAAATGACTAAAATCCAATATTCACGTCATTAGTACATCCTTACTCGGCGTTTTCATTCATTTATAATGAGCATAGAAATGAGCTAGCCTAAGCTTACTTTAAAAGAAAGTCAAAAGTAAACTGAAAAGGATAAGAGTGGTTTGTAATATTTTGCAAGACGGCTGGGGGGGGAAGTCCTTCCATATTCTTCCATAAAACTCAGACTTTCACCAACTGCATTGCTGCCATAAAGAATCGCTTCGAGAAATGTACAGAAGTTTTATTGTTCCCGTAAGAATTTCAGCGTCGTTCTTTAAACCACATCCTTAAAAATGTTAAAATGTCACCAAACCGCACAATATCACAGAGCCTGTCAAGACTGTCAGCCATAAACTCATGGCCCCCCCTGACTTTTCTGTCTATTCAATGCAGGAGACCATTGTGCCGTTCTTGTGTCAAATGGTCATTTCATTAATAGCTGACCTAATACTCAACTCTCTTTGGGTATTCCACATAGCATTTGCTGCCTGGAGGTCTAAAAACACTGAGTAACATAACAATTCAACCATGCAACTTTTTCTGCACAGACTGATTTTTACAATCTATGTCATAAAGTTGAGACATAGATTGAAATGTCAATAAAATGCCACTTATTGCCCCAGATTTCTGTCTACACCTGGTTGAAAGTCGCACAAAGACACAAAATTAAGTTTCGTTGGGGTTTTATGTGACGAGGCTCGACTCTTGATAGTTGAATCTGATTATTGAAGGAGCTATATCGGGATGAGAGCAAGGAGGCATTTGAAAGCACTGGAGCTGTTTACCAAAGATGAATCATAATTATCAGAGGGAACATGAAAACAGCTGGTCAGGTTTGATTAATGTCACGCAAGATTTTTTCCGTCGATTATTGAGACGGGTATAAAGAATTTCAAACATGTGACTCAGATCAAATGCAGCTCGAAACAAATGCATTTTTTGTTGCTTTTATTATCCCATAAATTGATAGCCCTTTTACATTGTGTAATGTGCATACATCCATCTGCTTTAGACAAAAATGTTTCACAATATCAGGTCTGAATCCCATTACCATGCAAAAAAAAAAAAAAAAAAAAAGCCATTACCCAAAGTAGGAAAGTAGGGTGTTATGTAATAAAATTATTCAAATTACCCAGCTGCATGCTTACATCAAGTCAAAACCCTGATGTTGTGCCTATAAAAGCTTTTGCATGTCTGTCTCTGTGGAACCTCAGTGGTGTAACATCAGTGGAAAGTGCCATACCTACCCTAATCCCTTTTATAAGCTCTGTAGCGAAGGGGACTGATGAAAGTTCAGCTGATGTGGACATCAACTAAAAATATAGCCTGCTCTCTCGAGTGTCTTTTTCGCTATAGATAATTTAATCTAGACATATTAGAGACAGGCCGCTTAGTTTTCTTTTCTTGAGTTTGTTTTGTAATCGTTTTTCCATTTATAGGTGAAGAAGATCCATGACTTTATGATTTGCAAGTGAGGTTTCTACCCGTCTTATGAGACAAAACCGTAGCAGTAAAATACGTAATGGCTAACAACTAAAATTTTAAGAAAACGTTAAGCATGGACAAAAGGATTAAAAACGCATTTTTGTGAAGAAATCTTTATTGGAGTTTACAACACTGGCGCTCATTTGTTAAGGTTTTTTTGTTTTTGGATCGGAGTTGGTGTCATCCTTTTAACAGTTTCCTGAAGAAGCTGACAAAAAAATTAGCATATTTTAACACCTAACAACAACAGAGATCTGACCTCAATCAAACAAGTGGCACTTTGTTTTTCACCGTCAGAAAATTTAAGATTGACAGTCCAGTTTTTGCAAACAGAAAAACAAACCAGCAGGAAAGGATGCCAAGTTATTATTTCTGCACGGATAAGACTAAAGTTTCAAATAAGCATTTCAGAAGCTTGTTTTGTTTTCTGTAGGACTGTGAACTGGCGTGCTACAAGCTAAGCTACCAGAATACTCTGCTGTTTCTTGGCAGCATTACAGCGATGGTCGTTTTCAATTCAAAACTCTTGAGCCACTGATGCCACGATTCATGATTGTCATTTAAAACTAACAAGGAGGAATATCTTCAGTTTCTTGAGCTGCTAATTGAACTTGGAGTGTGTTATGGTGCCAAGTAGCTCCCAACAGAAGGAAAATGTTTTTAGTCAGTTTTTTTTCTTATGAATAAAATTGTTGTTACACTGTGTTTCAGTATTTATTCCTATTGATATGCGGTGTCATTTGTAACTTTTAACTAATTTAATTCCCATGTGTTTAGCCATATTTCGCTTTACTTTTTTTTGTCAAATATTTTGGTGGCTTAAATATGTTGTAGAAAACTCAAATCCCAGGATTCATTTAACTGTACATTATTTTCTGAGATTTTAATTACACGCAGCCTCATTTAGGCCAATTGGCTTTAAGTATTTAATTGCCTGAATAAAGTAATGTTGTTGACTGACTACTTCTTAATCATTCAACAACACTTCTTTACAATACCAAAACCTAAGCCAGATTTTGAAACATTGCTTTAATTAATTTACAGTTAAAGTAGGTAGGAGGTATTATGGAATGTATGCTGCTGGGAGACTTCTTGTAAACAAAATGTTTTGGTTCTTCATATTCAGTGGGCAAAACAAATGCAAAATTCTCCTCACATTAACCTTTGATGGAGTATTTTCCAACAGAAACGAGGCAAATGCTAGCAAATTTTAAGCTAATGTATGACAAACACCAACTATCCTGTTCTATAGTTCAGGTGTTGCCCAAACAATTTAAATTCTTGTCTTTTAGCCCAAAACATGAGTACATATTTTACTCAAATAAGTTGCCCTGAAAAAGCCAGAAAGCATTGAAGTAAGCTCAAATTTTAAATGTTTATAAGCTAGCCAAATAACTACATAGCTAGCTAAATAGTTATGCAGCTAGCTTTTTAGCTAGTTAAATGGCTATACAACCAGGCTCTCTGTAACCTAGCTAGATGGATTGGTTATAAACACTAGAAAACAACCACTTCTTCCCAATACATCCCAGATTTCCTGTATTAACAAATTTAATGTTGTCAGGGTTAGTAGCTGAGTAGCTAACAGGAACAAGGCAAATGCTAGCTTTTGCCAGGCAAATGCGGCCATGTCACTTGGCTTTCGGTTTAAGAGATGATACAAAAACCACTGAGTCGAACTTCATGAATTATAACCAGAAACATGAGAAACTATTTTGGCTTACATCCAAATTAACTACTCTTGCTAGGTGTTTAAAATGTATCTAGGCAGCTTCACAACACAGTCATGATAAAAATAAATAAATTTTAAAAAAATGCCTCTTTGAAAGCAACACAAAAGGGGCGAAGGTAAAAATGACCAGCACCCTTTTACCTTCATATTACAAGTTCTGCATTATCTTGACTTTAGACTAAAACTACAGTTGGCAAATTACAAACTTTACCCATCGTCATTTCTTTTTCTTCTGTCTAAAAATAAAGAAAAAAACTGAAAAAGAACTGCTGGTCAAAAATCATATTTCTGAAATTCACCTCATATTTGAGCGGATATTGCAATAAACACATTTTTTATGACTGCTATGCAAAATAATTAAACAATTTAACTTTGTGACATATCCACTTTGAAGGGTAAAACTTAAAAATTCAATGCTTACATAATTTAACATTGACTGTGCATAGATGTCCCAATGTTCCCGCTCATAATTAAAAGTGGTCGAGTCAATAGGTGCTTGGTAATTAATGTCGGCGTTTGAAGAGTACAGAAACGTAGAATGGACCCATCATCAGAATCAGTGTGCAAAACTAAAATATCTTTATTTTAGCATCACATAATGAATTACCTGATTACAATAAACAGGTGTGTATTAATACTCTGCCTTCTACTGTAAAAAAAACAAATGAGCACAAAAGTCAATTAAATCTGTAGTGTCACAGAGATTTAAAAAAAAAAAAAACGAGCCCAACATAACACTGTGGGCTACCCTCTTTACTGTCTGTAGTGTTAATGATTTATCATTTCAATTCCTCATGTATTTGGCAACATTACTTAAAGCATGTGCACTTTAAATTATGATGCGAACCCTAAAATGTTGTCTATCCCTGCAACGAGTCGGATTTTTCAATCTGTGCAAAAAAAGACTCAAAGTTTAGAGTAAATATACAGTCCACAGTGAATGAATGCCAAATATTCCAGAGTGCTGTCTTTTCTTCCTCTTTTTTTTAAGAAAATATGATCAATAAACTAGAATTATTTGAATATGTAAAAATAAGCTACAGAGCAACAAGATATGAAAATAGCCTTTTTCTTCTCCCGTTCTAATAATGATACAAATAAGATTTTGTGGCAACTTGTCTCGCTATCTTGTAAGCCCTCTCAAAGCGCTGTGGGAAAAAAAAAAAAATGTAGCCGACGTTCAGCTCAAATGTCTAAAATTGCACATTGGGGTGAAAATGGGAGCAAAGTCGGATCGTGTGGGACAGGAGACAGCAGATATGAAAATGGCAGAGAGTGATCAACACATTTGGAAATATAGAAGGTCTGAGCCGCGTAGCAACAGAAGAAAAATTAATCCCATCAGGAGACAAGATGGAGCAAACGACGATAGACCTCTAGGATTAGACCGACAAACATTTATAGATTAAATGAGGTATTGCACAGAATAATAAAAAAAAAGCATAAAGGCAACAAAAAAACAAAAACAAACATGTACAGCAAACTGATAGAACATTTTTAATTATAATTATGAAGTCATCAACTTTATTTTAGAAAGACTGGGATAAATTTTAGTGTCATCGAGGGCGAAAAAAAAAAAGATAAGAAAAAAAAAAAACAAGTTTCACTCGTCGTCCCATTCATCCTCTTCCTCAAAGTCGTCATCATCATCGTCGTCGTCATCGTCGTCTGTGGGGGAAATGGAGAAAATTAATATTTTAATAAACAGATTTGTAAAAAAAAAAAAAAAAAAAAAAACATGGAATATTTTGATCAGAGTTTAAAGACAACAAGTTTATATTCACTTAGAAGCAACAATACTAAAGTTTTAACTCAGAAATCGGTATTTGGTGGAATACCCATGAGGTTGTCAATGGGGTTCAGTGCAGTGATCTCTTCATTTTATCCCCAGAGGTGCATATATAAAAACCTAACCAACATTGTTACTTTTGTCAAAAAAAAAAAAAAAGACAGATTTGGAAAATAATATTTCAATCTCACAGAGGAAATCTGTAAAATTAATCCACAAACTCCCTCTGCTGTGCAGAGTGTGGAAGAGCAAAGACCTCAACGACGGACACTAAAAGGGTTCCTACACAACTTTTATTTCAAAACTAGAATCCTCGCTCCCCTTACTGGAGATAAATTAAAACGTTCTGTATGGAGGTGCATATACATGAGTTTGTGATAATCTGTGTGTACCCGAAGAGTGGATCGCTTTGCTTCTCTTCTGCATCGCGGCCATCAGCGCCCCGACGATGCCCGCTGTCGGTGCCGAGTCAGCAGATGTCTGTTCGGAGTTATCGTCCCTCTGTAAAGACGGGAAACCAGAGTGAATCAGTTTCTGTGTGAAACGCGTGGCTGCTGGGCTCCGGCGAGCCCAAATGAACAAATGAACACTAACAGCTTTCAGTTGGACTCCTTGTCGGATCTGGTCCAGGAGCGCGTCTCTGCCGCCGGTGGACACCGGCCTCTCCTTCTGCTCCACCTTCTTCAGCTGCGCTCCCTCTCTGATCTGGCTCAGCAGCGCGGACTTGCCGTCCCCTCCGTTGGCCTCCATGGAGGGCGGAGGAGGAGGTCCGGGAGCCGGCGGAGGCGGCGGAGGCGGCGGGGGCGGAGGAGCGCCGTTGCTGGCCGCCGCCGGTGGCAGCGGGGGAGGAGGCGGGGCCACGGGGAGGGAGGCGTGCGCCGGGGCCGGGGGAGGCGGGAGAGCGCCTCGGCTGGGCGGCGGAGGCGGCGGGGCGGACATGCCCGGTCGGGACGGGGGCGGAGGCGGGGGCGCCGAGACGGGAGGCCTGGAGTGGGGAGGAGGCGGCGGGGCGCCCCGGACCACCCGGGACGGAGGAGGCGGCGGAGGGGCGGAGCCATGTTGGGGTGGCGGTGGTGGAGGGGGGCCACCTCTGGGTGGAGGCGGTGGAGGAGCTAAACAAAAAAAAATAAAACAAAAAAATAAACAGATCATCAAAACAGACACTTTTCATGTCTGTAAGAAGTCACTGACAGTTACCATAACAACCAGATTTAGTTTAATTTTTACCCCCCCCCCCTCCTTTTTGTGACAACTGCAGGAGGATCATCATCATCTGACAGACTGAAATGTTTGGCAGCTCTTACATGTGCCAAACCATGCAATCATAACTAAGCCATACAGGATCAGCCTTCTCAGCTGGAGTTCATATCAATGTTAGTAAAACTGAGAAACACAGCAACCGTGTCGCACTACAACCACAACAATGCAGGTATTTTATTGGAATTTTATGTGATAGAATAGAAGCTTGATCCGTTTCCTTCCACAAAGGAGAACTACTACTCTTTCGCTCATCAAATGTCGTATGAAAGCATCAATAAGTCTAGTTTCCCGTTTGCCACGAGGCAAACATGAAAGATGGCGCTCTGGTCTGATGAAACAAGTCTTAGCCACAAAAACCCCGACTTGTTGAAGAAAGTAACCCTGCATTTTCCGTAAACACATCATTTCTGCAGTGCTGTGAAAATGCGAGAAAAAAATAAAAAACTTTTTCGAGGGTGCAAAGCAAAAAACTTGAGAGCAGAGGTTGAGCTTTAAGTAGGAAAGAAAAGCCTAAACATACAGCCAGAGGTGAGGTGCTGTGCTTTAAATCTAAGTATTTCAGGTACTACAGGCATTCCACAAAATCCAGACCTAAATCTAATGTTGGAAGACTTGAAATTTATAGATCCTTTCTCTATTGTTTTTTGTGAGCCATTTCACAAAAACAATTGTTAAACATTTCAGCCTCTAAAGATGCAAAGCTGTTACAAGAGTTGAAATTGAAGCTGCAGACAAAGGTTGACTCATGTGGGTGAAGAAAAATGCAAACTTTCCAGATATTCATTTAGAAAAAATGTTGCGAGCGATGAATCACCGTCCTTCCCCTCCCCAACTGCGCACTTCTTCATGGTGTTGGTGCTCTATCACATAAAATCCCCCCAAAATACTTTCAAGTTTGTTGTCATAATGGGACAAAATTATTACCGCGTTCCACCATATAAAACCAAACTCCTTCTTGCGGCAATCTACATGCAAAGAGTTAAACAAAGTCAACCAGAAGTTTGAAATTCTTTAGATTCCCAAGGAAGGAGACGCTCTGCAATTATTCAACAAAACGTCGGAAAATGTATTTCAGGAAGTCTGGTGGCAGAGCATCACACGGCAGACAGAACCTCTGCAGGAACTGCAAAACGCCTCATGGTGGAATCTTAGCATAACTGCACATGCAGCGTCACAGTTAGCTTCCACAGCCGGTCATGCACAGAAACCTACCGCTCCACCTGGGCGGACCTGGGGATGAAACCACCACACCAGTTAGACTGTCAGCTAAAGACAATCGGCCCACTTCAAAGAAATTCACATAATCCTGAAAAAAAAACATTTCCATACAGTCAATCTGTTCTAATGAGGCTTGTTTGTGCGATTTAAAAAGTACTGTCGCCAAAATTACTAGACGTTTCAATAACATTCAACTCTATTGAGTATAACTGTCCATCCCCATTCAGCGGCTGTTCATCCCCAATTGCCTCGTTCTAACAGAAAGTCAGTCTGAATCTAGATCCCACGTAAACGCATAGAGCAGAGAGTGCGGTTGCCATCTTACCTTGTCTCCGTACCTCGTTTTTGACGGCCTCCACGCCTCCATTTTTCTCAATGAAGTCGTAGATGGCCTTGGAGGTCTCCTTGTCCTTCAGCTGAGCCTCGGAGATGCCGGCCAAATCAAACAGGTTCTTCAGCTCTGGGTCCAGGTTGTTCATCTAGAGAAGGCAAAAAGAGAAAAGGGACACAGACAAAACCAAATAAATACGTTGATACACAGTTGACAGGAAAAAAAACATTTATACCCGTCGTTTAAACTACAAAAACGTACTTCAAGCTTAGTTAGATTGGAGTTTAAGGGGTATGAATATGTTTTTCACTGTTATACAGAAATTTGTGAATGCATAACTAACCGTCCACCACCCAAAAAAGAAAAAAAATATATGAACACAACTAAAAAATATGTCTGATTTGAGCAGTGAAATGAAATGACTCAAATGTTATCTGATTCTCCTACAATAAATAAAAAAAATTAAAAGTCTGCATCATCACTATCTTAAGTAACGTGAACATAACATCTGACATAGTGTTTGACCTTGGTGACGTTTTTCTGTGAAAACTTGCTTCACATTTTGAGCTGAACTTCCTGACTCCACAAAAAAACTATTTCTGCGGCTCTGCCTCCACCTAGTGGCCAGTGTTGGAACATGTTCTGACCTTGACTTTCGGCTCTACAAATACCACACTATGAGCTCACATGGCTGAAAGTAGTTGATAGACTAAAAGCTCTTTGATTTCACAAAGAAAAATTAAACCTAAACTATCAATATGGAGCAAAAATAGCTCATCTATACTTTAAGAGTAATTCACCAGGTAATAAACCTCTTAGCTCAGAGCTATGTATAAAAAGACTCCTTAATTCAGTATGCTAAAATTCCCTGGGCTTAATTTTCTCATTTGCAAGCTGTGATCCATCCTCCTGAATCCAGCGGTTTCACCGACTGGGACGTCTGAAACTTGAGCTATAGATTATGCGGATGCACGTTGATTCTCTTCCATCTGAAATCTCCTTGCGTGCGCAGCTCGGATTAACGTTTAGAAGCTGATATTACATTTAAATAATCCGTCTGCCCGACTGCATGCGGTTTGAGACGGCCTACCCGTCACGCACTTTCAC